TCCTTTGAGAGTTGAGGGGTTTGACAACTTTGGGCTCTCCTCCAGATCTGGGAATCTACTTACTGTGCTCACCTTAGTACCCCAAGCATCTTAAAACCCATAACTTTGAAGGAAAAAAGTAGGACATTTCCACTGGGGACATCTGAGGCAGATTAATGCAAGGCAAGTAGCCTTTGAATGTCCTCCTCAGTGACAATTGGATAGGGTAGTTAGGGAAGGTCATTTAGGGATATTACTCTCTCTCTCTTTTTGGCAGGGGGGGCACCTTTAAAAACAAGCATTTGTCCCTTGATTGTACTCTAGAAAACAAAGAAAAATATATCACCCATAATATCCCATGGCTCTTAAATGACTTCTGTTAATATTTTTAAATAAGTTTCCTCTAATACTTTTGGTAGTAAATTTTAGAAATTTGGAATCATTGTGCATAATAATATTTCTTAATTTGTGATCCTTGGGCACCCTCTTCTAACATCAGAATTACTTGGCATCAAGACATACTGACGTACCAAGTATCCCTTTGACTAGGCCCCCAAATCTGTGTTTTAAACAACTTCCCTGGGTTATCTCAGCCAGGCTGAAGTTTCAGGACCTGTATATGGTTTTGTGTACAGCTTTTTTCATTTAACCTGTTCAGCACTTTTCCATGAATAGGAATAAGTAAATCATAATTTGGACAAAAGAGATGCTTCAGTGTCTCCAGTTTAGGTGTGAACAACAGCAACATCAAAAATACTGATTTATAACATCCTGAGAGTGGTATTATCTGTTCTAGCACTGAGTGGAACTGTGGAACAGTTGTAAATGGAATGAACATGAGAAAACTGAAATTTTGTCACTTTGATGATCTGCCAATTTGGGTCTTTAGAATGAGATTTCAGTTTTGTTTGAATTTCATTAAGTATCTGATTAATTAATTCCTTTTCAACAAACATTTATCCAGCACTTGCTTTGTGTCGGGGCTTGTGTTGGAGTTTAGAAGTTGCAAAACACTTAAAAAAAAATGTTAAGTACAATTGCGTTCTTCAAAGCCATAAGAGGTGCTTCGGCTGGTGACTCTCTGTGCTCCACGTCTTGAAATAGGACCCTGGTGGACAGCATGGCAGCAGCACAGACTCTACCACAGCTCATTGTGAGTGACCAGCTGATGTCCCAGGGAGTTGGAACCACCTTCCTAATTCATCCAGAAGCTTAGTTGTCAACATTTCTGAGGATGTGTGCAACAGCGTTAAGCCAGTTTGCCATCAGGGATTCTTCCTCCTTTTTTTGTTGCTGGTTATGAACTTGTCAGCTAAGGAAATTCTTGTCTCCAGTTTTACACAAACTGGTGCTAAAATTATTAGTCTTGGTTTCATCTTGCTTCTTGTCTAACTCTTGGCTTTTCCATGTCATAAAAACTTGTTAAGTGCCAAGAGCATAAACTTTCTTTTTCATCTCTGCCTAGAGTTCTAGTCAGTGAAAAAGAGCTAGCCTGTTTTGTTTTTTTTTAAATCTTAGAAAGCGTTTTCAGCTGGAAGCTTGGGGAATATGAGTTGAATTTCACACACAGTGACACTGTAGCACTACCCTAGCAATGACTAGTCTTGGACACAGTTACCAGAGCTGTGTTTGGAAAGAGTTTCCCACTTATATCCCGTGGCATGTGTTAACCAAACCTGTTTCTTCTTTTTAAGGAGAACAGAACTTAAAGAACATCACAGTTATGTTTCTTTGCCATTGCTTCTTTTTGGATGGAAACGTAGATTTGAGTTAGCCATATTAGTTGATCACTTTTCTATGAAGAAGGAAACAAATCTCACGAATTCAATGTGCTCGGCAGACTTTGAGAGTCCTGTGGACTTTGATTCTGCAGATGCCGTGTCTTTCTTCTGGGAGGTAGTCAGCCATTTACAGAGGCTTGTGTGGACCCTGTGCTGAGAACAGAGGAAGGAAGACATGGCCCTGCTTGGCAGAGGCTGTGTTGTGTGCAAAGGTGAACCCCACACAGATGAGCTGGGAGTGATCACTGGCCTGACTGATCTGGTCAGGGGTCAGGAAGGATTTCTTGAGTCTGGTGTGGTTGGGCTCCTCCAGTGCCCCCCACTGCCTAGCCCTGTAGGTGCTCAAGTGTTTATTCAGTATATGAGTTAATTGACAGAGGAACACGCTGAAGAAAATAACAAAGAGAACACCTGTTTGTTATTCACTGTTTTAAGGACTCCTTATGGACCACAGGGTGCATAACCGTGTGGGACAAATTTGCCCTCTATAAATATCTTTTTTTTTTTTGGCTGGCTGGTATAGGGATATAGCAATATCTTTTTAATAATGAGAGCTGAATAAGAAGAGTTGGCTCCTTCCTGAAGTATTTGGCTTGTTGCGTGAGTGGCCTCTAAACTTTCTTTAAGGTTTTTCAGTGGTCACTTTACCTCTTGAATTCACGTGACTGACCTGTGTGCATCACATATAAGTTATTTTGTTTTACTCCTTGGGCTGTCTCTTAAACAATTGTAGTCCTGAGATCAGAGGTTAGTAAATAAAATGCCTTCCTCAAAATTAACAGGAAGTGCTTGGAGTAAGAGCCCTGTGTACTAAACCTCTTCCATGCCCAGTTAGTGGGCATAATAGTGATCTTTGCTGACCTGGTCAAAGCAAATGCAGTTATCCCCCGGATCTGAGAACCATGGAGTAGCAGTCCTTCCCAGTTAGAGAGCCTGATTATGTGTCTGTGATGAACGTGGTAAGCAAGCTTTTCATTTGGCTAGCAGCAGCTGTTTTTTATTTTCCCCCACCTTTTGTCACCTTAGATATCCCAGCCAAAGTCATCATTCACCCACTATTTATTCATTGAGCTCAGCTATGTGCCAGGTGCTGTGGGTACAAAAATGAAGGAGAGCCCAAGACCCTCTGCTTATAGACACACTCCTCCCCTTCGTCCACGCAGCTTGCTCCTTGGCTTTCAGGAAGTCTCTGCACCCATGCCATGTTCTGAGATGCCTGCTTTACACTTGCACCCTCTTTTATACTTGCCTTGCTTTCTCTCCAAAGCATTTACCGCCTTCTAATACCCTATATATCTAATATCCTAACATAGTTATTTAGTTCGTTTTCTGTCTCCTAATGTAAGTTCAGAAAGGGCAGGGATTTTTGTTTTGTTCACTACTGCGTCCCAGTGCCTGGAACATGATAAGTGCTCAATAAATATTTATTGATGAATAAATTAGTGAAAGATGTACTACAGTTGATATATATGGAAGTCCACAGTCAAGTGTGGGAAAGAGGCTAGATAAATTGACTGTTCAAATCTACGGTGAGAAATTCTGTCACAGGAGAATCCCAAGGGAGAATATCTTCACTCAGAAAGTTTGTTAGGAAAATAGTTCGAAGATAAGCCTCTGGAACCAAGTTCTACAGTGTGAGAAGTTATCCAGGCCAGTGGAGGTTCGAGAGAAGGGCACCCAAAGCAGAGAGACCCCGTGTGCACAGCGTGTGGAAGTGCAGGTGGGCATGGAGCATTGAGAGGACTGCAGTGTTGGGGGTGGGGGAAGTGGCAGAGGAGTTTGGGAAGTGGACAGGAGGCTGAGTCTGCTAGAGCCTTTTAGCTTGAAAGGTCCTGGGAGCCTTGAGAGGCTTTTCCTGGGGACTGGAATAGTCAGATTGACAGTTGAGAGAAAGCACTGTGGTGGCCACATGTAGTTTGGAGGGTGAGGCGTGAGCACAGGGGCCAGAGGGCCAGGTAGGCTCTTGCAGAGATCCATTGAAAAGTGTGGAAGGCCTGACCTCAGGAGTGCGGGTGCCGAGAGGAGGGTGACAGCCTTAGGGTGGCCAGTGGGAGTGGGTGCATAGAGAGATAGACAGCTTTATTATTGTGTTTGTGATCATGCGTTTTCCTTTTTAACAAAGTGGGATTATACTGCTATTTCCTAAAGTGTTTTTTCCCCACTTCTTGTATTGTGACTATGTTTCCGTTGACTATTTTTCTTCAGTATTGTTATTAAGGACTGCAGAGTATTCACAAGTTAGATTTTATGCTTACTAGAAACAATGATGTTTGGCATTTTTTGGATCCATTTTTAAGTTATTTCTGTGAATTATCTTATTTCCCAGAGCTAAGTAAAGTGCATCACTGTAAACTGAAAGATGAATATCTTTAATTCATTGATTATTTTAGGGGTGGAGAGGTATGTTTTCGTAAGTGATATTAAGAAAAATAATTAGTGGATATTTAAAACGTGAAGTTTTTATGTTTTTGGATTTTAAAACTATACTAATACGATCAAAAACAAGTTGTATATATGAAATGTTTGAAAAATATTGGGAAAGATCTGTTTCTAAAATGTTTGTCAATAAGCTGGCTTGTGTTTGGTGAAGGCCAGCTATTTTAGCTACTGCTATGGATATTCAGGAAGGTAACCAAAGCATTCTCACCCTTGTGTAGGTGGTAGGTAACTAAGGCATAAGCAATAATTGGGGCACATTATGAGATGTGTAATTAAGTACTGAATTATGTGCACATGGTAAGTTCTGTTGTAGTAAGTCAGAGAATGAAGATGGATAATGAGCTAGGCTTGAGAAGGAATAGGGTTTGGGCAAATGGAGAGGAAAGAGGAGGGCATTCTAGGGAGGCAGACAGAATGAGTAGGGCTAGATTTCAGATTAACCTGTTGGTTTTGCTTTTTGAGTGATCTTACTTTATATGAATTCTCTGATTGCTGCTGCTGAACTATGCTTTTTCTCACTGCGTTACCCCATTCCGGTGTTAGGATGCTTCCCCCCAGCCACCCCCCATCCCCCCGCCAAAAAAAAGTAAAGAAAGCCCAGCTTTGTAACTGGCTTACACCACAAACTAGAGATTTATTGGCTCATGTAACTAGAAATTCCAGAGGTAGGTCAGGCTTCAAAGTTGGTTTGATTCAGCCATTTGTTGATGTCTTTGAGGACCTGGTTTCTTTTCATCTTTTCATTTCTGTGTGTTATCATTTCAGTGTTATCCTAAGGCTAGCTTTGCCCCAAATGGCAGAATGGCCATAGCAGTTGCAGGCTTGGTGTTCGTGCATGACCTCCGTCACAGCACCCAGAACAAGAGAGTGAGTGTTGTCCCAGAATTCTGTGCAGTGGACTGAGCTTCATGCACATTGGGTCACCCCTGAACCAGGAGCTGTGGCTAGGAGGATGAGATGCCAGGCGGGGATCCCCTCTGGCTTGGGGGTGTGTGTGTGTTGACAATCTGAATTGGGTGACTACTATTCAACAGGGGAGGGGAAGGGTGGCTGCCCAGTTCGTACAGTCTCACCCAGAACACCGTCTCTCCCCGTCTCCTTTTCCAGGTGCGTAACTCCCCGTCTCCTTTTCCAGGTGTGTTAACTTCTTCCTTCTTCTGGACTCCTTAGACTTAAGACTCTGTCCTTTCTCCTTGGCAAATCATATTGTACTGATATCTTATTATATCTTATAGTCTTTCTTAAATATTATTGTTGCATAACTGTTCATGTGTCTGTGCCTTGAGATCAACCCCAGGTTCCAATATTGCCATTTTCTGTTAGTGGGATCTCCGGCAAGGTTGATTTCCCTGAGCCACAAGCTCTTTTCATCTTCATCATTCAGTCAGTGGATATTTATTAGATTCTAAGTATTGTGCTTAAGTGAACGAGGTCCAGAACTGAAGGATACAAGGAGATCATGATTCATTTATAGAGACATGTAGGTGAGTGAGAATTATAATGAGACGTGAACAATGCTTTGACAGAAATAGGGTTTGGAAACACTTTCTGAGGAGGTGATTCCTATGTTGAGCCTTGAAGGACAAGTAGGAGTTTGTCAGAGAAGAGGGGGAAGATGGAACCTGCATGAAGGTTTAAAAGCAGAACAGTGAGTAAATGTAGAATAACTGGGGTCTTAGGTGCACAAGGAGATGAGGCAAGATGGGTAGGCAGGGACAGCTCATTACACTAAGCTAAAGAGTTAAGATTCCATCTCTGTATACTTTGTAATTAGGAATGACCATATATTCTGGTTTATACCCATTGTCCAAGCATTATTAATATAGTGATACTTTCACTGTGAAATGTGCCTCTGGCTTGGATGATAAATGGTCACCCAACTTAAAACAGGAGTTCAGATCCATAGGGATAGTTAGTCTGATAACAGTATATAGGATTATATGCTTACCTTATAATTAGGAATGACCATATATTCTGGTTTATACCCATTGTCCAAGCATTATTAATATAGTGATCCTTTCACTGTGAAATGTGCCTCTGGCTTGGATGATAAATTGTCACCCAACTTAAAACAGGAGTTCAGATCCATAGGGATAGTTAGTCTGATAACAGTATATAGGATTATATGCTTACCTTACAGTAGGACCCTGGGATTACATGAGAGACAGCATAGCAGTGCTTCTCAAACTTTAAAAGTCAGTTAAGAATCAGCTGCTAATATGCACATTTGGATTCAGTAGGTCTGTGGTGGATCCTGAGAGCTGCGTAATATCTCAGGTATGCCTATGCTGCTGGCCTGGTGACTACACTTTGAGTAACAGGTAGTATAGAACTTTGGGAGCTTCAGATGTTTTGTAAGGTTTCTAAAATCATATGTAAAAATGTGTGTGTGTGTGTATTCTTCAGAGAGTAAACCTAATTCCCTTACATCAGTTTCTCAAGGGGCTCTGCAACCACCCAGAAAAGATTAGGGATCACTGACTTTTAGAAATAATGTGGAGATAGTGAAATATGTGTATTAAATACCTTTCATATGTGTATTAAATACCTCTAAGTCCAGTATGCACTAGATACCTGTTCTCTTCCTCCTCCACCACAGTTCTTTGAAATTAGGAAATGTTGTTTAAGCACTTGAAATATCTCTTTATGCCATTGGTGCTCAATAAATACCTAGTTTGGTAACAAACTGTTTTAGGACCGTTAGCCATTCTGTCAGCATTTGAGAGTCTTAGGTGCTAAGCATTTTCCTAGCTAGGAAGTATGAGTCTACCATCTAATCTTGGTTATTTCAGATATCCAGCTATGGATGGGGGTAATTAGGGCTTGTGGTAGATAGCAACTGTAGGATTGAAGAGGAGATGAATCAGTTTTTTTTTTTTTTTTTTTTAAGTAATCTTACTGAGTTATTTGTTCAGAAAGGTCCTTCTCCTGACTTTGATTCATTGAGATTCTGTTCTCTGGTTCTCAATTATATGTGATTTAAGTATGGTTTAATTATAATCATTTTAATTCATTCAGTTGCTATTGTTCTTGCCAAATACACTTTTCTGAACATTTTGATATTTTGTTGAGATCATCTCAGAAATTTGGGATTTGTGATCATCTTAGGGTATTTGGAATGGAAATGGTATATATTTCAAGATATTTTCAAAGTTTCTCACTTAAGAGATTGGAAGAACAGTGAAGTGTGCCATTGACATAAGTGTAGAAGCTGGTTTTGAAAAAAATAATGGACCTTTTGAATTTAAGGTAAAACTAGGACATAAAAGTGGGAGTGTCATGGTTTGTCAGCCTCGAAAATGGAACTGGAAATGTAATTGAGCAATCTAAGTTGAAGATGGGAATTTGGATTTCTTTTTTTTTTTCTGTAGCTGGCAGGTACAGGTATTGAACCCTGGACATTGGTGTTATCAGCACCATGCTCTAACAAACTGAGCTAACTGGCCAGCCCTTTTTAAAACAATTTTTTAAATTAAAAATATTTTTTTGGTGGTTGGCTATTAGAATTTGGATCTTATCAACAGTTGAAGCTGTGAGCGTAGATGATCTACTTAGGAGGGAATATCTAGAGGTCAGCCCAGGAGGGAGGGAGAGTGTAAGAGACAGAATCAGGTCTTATAGAGTTGTAAAGGCACTAGAGGAAAGAGTGTTATGAAGTGTGTATGTGAGAGAAATCTTATTGTTAATGCTTTGGAGAGACTGACTAGCTGGAGAAAGACAAATGATCTTGGAAGGTTATTTTGGAGAAAGTAGAGTGTCGGAGGTGAAAGATTTCAATAAATTAATAGAGCAAGTAAGAAATGAGTTCAGTTACAAAAGAAGTGACTTGTGTGGAAGACATTTCTGAAAAGTTGCATGGAGTTTAATTTTTCTATGAAGTTATTTCTAGTTTAGTTGCATTATAGTTTTTCTTCTGATTGACATTTAGCTGCTTTTTTTTGCCTTTGTTGTTAGTGATGAGTAAACTCTTAAAAGCACTAAGAGTTCCCATTTTAAAGGCATCTGTTCTTGATGTTCGCCGACTTATAAAGTGAATAATCGTCTCAAATTATTTGATAATTTTTTTTTTTTGTTTGACATTTAGCTGCTTTTTTTTGCCTTTGTTGTTAGTGATGAGTAAACTCTTAAAAGCACTGAGTTCCCATTTTAAAGGCATCTGTTCTTGATGTTCGCCGACTTATAAAGTGAATAATCGTCTCAAATTATTTGATTATTTTTTTTTTTTGGTGGGGGGACATAACTAAGTGGAGAAGTAGCTCTGCTCACCCTCCTGTTTTCTGCTTGTTTCTCCCATTCTCTTAACTAACTGCCTGTAGTAATAGGGCCTTTTCTTGGACTGTGAGAATGGCCCTACACAGTGATTCTGAACCCTGACTACAAGTCAGGATCATGCAGGAAGTGTTTAAAATGCTGAATGAGGCCTGGACTCTGCCCCAGACCACTGAAGTCAGAATTTTTGCAAGGTGTGGCTGAGGATGCTGATTTTAAAATATAACTGGGGCTGAAAACCATTGTCTTAGGCTTTTGTCCTGTGCTGCTGATCCCGGAGAGCAGCACCAGGAGTTGGTTTTCTGCTTCTGTATGGAAAATGGAGTGTTGTGAGCTGGTTAGGTGGAAACCTCTTCCAGATGCTCAAGTTCCAAGCTCCACATATTTACCATAAGGAGGACTTTCTGAAGCCTCGAGTTACATTTTTCTAACAAAAGGTTTTAAATTATAACAGTGAACTTCAATACATAATTAAAGAATGGAGTGTAAACTATTATAATTTTGGCTGATAAACTATACTTCCATAATTAAAATCTTTGGAGGACATGTTTCAACAGATCACTAGGTGAAAGTTAAATTGAGATAGTAAACAGTGGACTGTTTCCTAAGGGGGCTTGGTCAGACTCTTTAGCTATCAGTGCGCCTTTTTGCATTCCTTTATTTTCGGTAGATAGTAATTTTGCAGCTTTGTACTTCTTCAACCAGTCCTTCTAAGTAACTTTGGTTTTCATTAACAACCAAAGCAGCTCATTAAGGGGGAGATTCTGTACTTCCTTCTTTAAAAGTGGCAGAAGAGGAGTAGTATATGTACCAGTTAAAATAAGTGCTGCTTATTAGACAGCTCTAGATTTTCCAGGGTATTTGAGGAAACTGATGGCAATGGCCAGCAAATTAGAAGAAAATCATTTATGTAGTCAGACTTCTTTTTTCATGGATGTCCTTTAAAATGAAACTCTGGTTTAATGGTGTACTTTCCTTCCTTGGCAGGTAGTATTCAGGATCTGAGCTTTTTTTGGTTTGGTACCAGCATATTTCATTAAGTGAAAAATCCTGTAGAACAGATGACACTTACAACTTTCTGCCCATGTAGCACTCTGTTTAATGAAATACTGTAGTTTTGCTTCGGTGTTTTTGATAATAATTGTCTTTGTGTGTAGTGAAGTTTGAGTACATGATCAGAGGATCTTGGCAATAACAAAGGTTGAGCCAAGCAGGAATAATCCGAGGTGACTGAGTGATGATAGGACAGAATCTTAAAGAAGGGTAGGACACTGATACAAGGAAAGCAGACAATGGAATAAAAATATGTTCAATATTTTAGGTGTTGTTATGTACCACTAGTAAGAGTCTGTGGACCAAGGAACGTGAAATCTTTCAAAATTTCCAATGTGTGGATGCTTACAGATGCAGAGTACCTACTTAAAAATTCTACTTTTGTAAGTGAAAGATTAAAATTGTGGCCTTTGGTCTTCTTTGAAAGCTGTTTTGCAGGACTGACAGCTGCCTCATCCTCCTTATATAGATTGTGCATCAATTTTTTTAAAAAATCAACCTTATTGAGGTATAATTTAATAAAATAAATGTACACATTTTGTTTG